ATCCCTAAGTCATAGCTTTTTATTCAAAATTTGCCACGGTAGCATCTTTTTTAAACTCTTTTCTTTTTATGACCTCCAGGGTGTTCTTATATCTAGGGCAGTTTGTCAATAGCAATATCGAGCCACCCTACATATCAATTGGCCCAATTATGGAGCAATTTGATGTTGATGACATCAAACCGCTCCATGGTTGGAATTTTTATGGGGGCGGTTTGATATCGATGACCGTTTCCTATTTTTTAAGTAGGGGCGGTTTGCTGTGCCCAATAACGGACTTAGTGGTTCGATGTCAACAACATCGAATTGGCTGGCTGGATTGAAACGCTTTTAAGTGTGGCCATACGTGCTGCTCAAATATGCGATGCTGTAAAGAATTCTGTCACATCTTGGGTGCGGTACTTCCAATTTTTAAGGCTATCCCAAAAGAAAAACCTCTGATCTTACCGTTATATGAAAGGAGGTCCAAACGATCAACTACCTAGTTACCACACCACCTCCTGAAGGATGGGTAAAATAAATTTAAGAGGAGGATCAAGCCTCGGGGTATGGGGGCATGTTGAGAGACTCGACTGGAGTCACCCGATGGTCGGCTGCCTGCGTTAATGAAGCAGAGTTGTGGCCATTGAAGATTGGTGTGTCCAAACTAGACCGTAGTCATCTGCGCCCGAGTTTTTTAAGGGATTTAGCTAAGGCAATTTCTTAGTTCAAAAACCCAGACAACACCCCCTGGATTTGGAGAAAAATTATGGATGATCATGAAAGAGAGGTGCTTTTCTATCATTTTTACGGGGAGCACAGTGGAGAGGCTGACATATTAACAGGCTACTGTGCTTTAAATTTCCTACCCGTCTTAGAGAAGTCTTGATATGGGGGTTGTTCGATATTGGAAATGTCGAACTACCCACCCTAAATATGGGGTGGTTCCATTTCTCGATTTCTAGCTACCATCCTAGAGGGCAAAAAAATAAAAAAATAAATCTATGTTGCCAAAATCTAATCAAGGACAAAACCATAATAGAAAATATGAAAAAACAAGACGAGAATAAAATAGGGGAAAATATAGTTCATGCAATAAATTGACATTTGTTTGTTTTCTGGCCTATATGTAATTTTTCCTATTTAGAATTACGTATAAGTTTATAAAAAATATTTGTAATTTAATTAGTTACGCCTATGCATGGCGTTGACATCCAACTTAAAAAAGGTTAATTAAGTCTTTTGCATTGATACCCATTGTCATTTGTTGCCACATAACAATACTGCAACTACAAGGGCATGGAAATAATGTCTCATTCAAGTTTCCGATGCTCACAAAAGCTAAGTTGCAGACCTATTATGACTCAATAAGAAATGTTTAACCTCATTTACTTCTCACTATTTCATGTATGATTCCAAAGAATATGTTTGGAAGGCACATTTGTCATTAAATATTCGTAGCAGGGGCTAAAAAAAGAAAGGAAAAGAGAAAAGAAAGAAGAACAAGGGGAATGATGCTCAAGAAACGAGAATACTAAAAAAAAGAAAGGAAAAGAGAAAAGAAAGAAGAACAAGAAGACTAGGGAACAGCCTCAAGTGAAAGGCAAAAGAAAAGAGGACTACAATCATATGAAAAGAATAAGTATGTTAGAAGTAGAGGACTACAATCATATGAAAAGAATAAGTAAAAGTAAGTAGAGCCTAGTACTGTTCCTATTTTCCCACTATTGATGCTTAGGGATTGCTTATAAATAAATCTCTTCTTTTGAGAGAGAGAGAGAGAGAGAGCGAGAGAATCCATCAAGTTTTGTTATTTATACCACAGGCAGATGGGCACCAGCACCAAAGTTAAGGTCTCGAACTTTGTATATTTTTTTTTGGGTAATGCAGCACAAAGTTGTATGTTAGTGGGGATTTGGCCCCTATTGAAAATGGAGTCATAGATCTCATCATAGGGCTCAACAATACTACCGTCAAAACCCCAGGCCATTCTCAATCTCAGACTTTGTACATCAGGCTTAGAGATATTTATATTTGGAAAATAGTTTGATAGGGTTGCCACCCTATTAAAATAAGTATAGCATCACCTCATAACTCATCGAAAATTGCAATTCAAGCATTGGAAAACCTTTACATCGATCATCTTGGCTTGAATATTATGGCTATGAAAAAAAAATGGATTTCAAGCTCTAAATATTGTGTATCTTGTAATAAATTATCTAGACCGTCCATTTCTCCCTAAAAATAAGTGTTCTTAGATCCGCTAGATCTGTACCATATTTTAACTTTAAATTTTATTGTCGGTGTTGGAAATTCATTTTAGAGTCTCATGGAGATTCTTGTTGCCAAAAGTGCCTTCGAGACGAGGACTTAAGGTGAGGCGCTATTTTGTTTTCCTAAAGCCTAGGCCATAATAGAAACTTCATCCATTCCAGCACCTAAAAACATGCACATCATTTGTCTTCACCTTTACGTTCATGGATAAAAAATGTAATTCAAATAATCCATCTGGCAACACTTATCGTGATCCGTCTATCACGAATCTTCACATGTTCATGAGGTTTCACCAGAGTTAAAAACATAAAAAGATTTGCATATCATCATAAAAATTTCCGGCTCCGGATCTCGTCTTTCTGGTGGGCCTTTGAGATGCAGCCCTGGCCAAATTCGTAAAATTCCAGCTTTACTCAACCACAGAAAACCATGCACCAATGTCACCTAAAATATTACCTTGCACGAATGCCACATAAAATATTTCCCATCCCATCTGCCCTTCATAAATGAATCCAAAAGAAATTCCTTCCCCCAAAAGTGATCTGGTGTTTATAAATTAACCAAAAGAAAATTCCTTCCAAAAGTGATTTGATGAAAGTGAAGATTTTTTTGGTAAAGGTAACGATACTCATGGTTCACAAATTTAAGTTTTTCATTTTATGTTGGTAGCATGTATTTTATATTTATAAAGTGTATCAAAATCGATGGACAAGTATGCTTATTTATTGCAAAGGACCTTTGATGGGGTTATTCTGAATGAAGAAGGCATTAAAATAAAAATTTTGCATGCTTTGTGGAGCTGGTTTTAGGGGAGCGGTGTTTCTGAGGTGCATGTAGTATTGATGAACCGTGTCAATCAATTTTCCTTGAATTCGAGGCCTAAAAGGAGATGGACCCCTCCAATGCCGGGATGTGCTAAATTAAATTTTGATGAGAGCTTAAGAATTCAAGAATAAGTGGCTAGAAATTCTGATGATTTTCTGTTACTCTTGTCCGCATGTTGTATTATAGAGCTTTTACAAGAAGGAATATTGAAGGTTACTATATAATAGACGAGAAGACTCTTAATGTGTTAATTGGTGTAATAAGAAGTATAGACCGCATCGAGGTCGGTATGGGTGGAAGTTACGGATATTTGCACATTTGCACAGAGATGCCAATGATTTAGGTGATGGTTTGGCCGGAAAGGGGTTCAATCTTCTTACTCTATTTGTTGAGCTGTCTTATGGCATTCTTGAAAAAAAAAACAAAGAAAGAAAGAAAAGAGTGGGCTTGTTTTCTGAAGCTCCTTAACTCTTTCTCTTGGTGGAAGAGAGGTTCTTCCTAGCAAAGAAAGATTGGGAAGGCTGGACCAAAATTAACCCATGGATTTTTTTGCCAATGATTTAGCCAAGAAAAATGCCAGAAGTAGGTTATATTCTCCTTTTTCCTTTCTATCAATGAGCCACAACAGGCAAACTCTGGATTTTTTTTGCCATAATTTAGTCCAAAAAAATGCTATTTTTTTCCCTTTTCCTTTCCATCAATGGGCCACAAGAAGCAAACTTTAAATTTAAATTGCAAATGCACCACTTCTTTCTTTTTGATAAAAGTTTCAAACCTGTTCGAAGTCGCTCCTCACTTCTTTGATTACCCATACATTGCTTTTAATTCATCATCATTATCCGATCCTTATTCCAGCTATTTAAGACTGCTACAGGAAATTATTCATAAAAAAGACGTAAAAAGTGACAACGTTTTACACTGGCTGCCCTACCTAACACAACCATCCTCCTTTATCTGGGTTTGGGACCCGCATATGAATGGGTTGGGAACAGCCACAGTGGAATTATATATTGTTCTCAATTCTGCCACCCCAAACATGGCTGCAATACAATCAACAAATCATTGACCACCCACCATATTGGCTGGATTATAGAAAAAAAGCGTGGGCATTTCCTCATTAAATAGGATCTTTTAACATGATTTCTCCTAATAACCAAATCATATCCTCCAATGGCCAGTTCGTGTGCAAGTTGGTAAAACTGGGATGCTATCATACAGTCAACTTCAGGGGTTATATAGCATACACCCCATCAAAGATTCAACACAAATTCGCCATCCAAAATAGAGTGGAAACTACAAGCAATACACATATACTGTAGACATTGCAAGTAAACTTTAACAGCAGTGAGGTGGACCCTAGTAACTACCCAAAAAAAAAAGTTGGATCCTAGTTATCAGATCGGACCCAATCAGCTAGTTCAACCGGTCAGACTACTGATGGATACTAATGTAGTCCTAAGCACAAATTGGTTGTGAAAAAATATGTTAAAACCAATATTTGACCAATTCCAATCGCTAGCTCGGACTAGTTGAGTTGGCTAAACAAAGTTAGGTAATTTTTTTTATAATATATTTTATGCTCTTTAAATTATTATTTTTATTTTATTTTATATTTAAATTTAGTCGAATAGATTTGATTAGCGGTCAGACCAGTTTTGATTGAACCATACCATTCAGCAGTTCAGAGGCCAATCCCACTAACCCTAAGCTGCAATAGCAAACATAGATAATAGAAAATCACTAAAAGGCCCCCTAAACAGTCCACGGAAATCTTCTTTGTCTCAAGCATATAATCATGGCTCCAAGTCCTCATTTGCCAACAAGAAAAGCACAAATATAACAAGTCAGAAGGCATCTAAGAGTACTATCAATATAGCGCTGATCATCCTTTGGAAGTAACCAAAGGGGAAGAGGTGCACGAGCCATCAGTAAGCAGCCATTTCAATATCAAAACCATAAGGAAATATGCAAAATCATTTTTTGTGCTCACTCTCCACCAATACAACCACTTTGCGACAGTGGCACATTTCCAAATCCTTTACTTATGCTATCCAATGGCCAAATACTCAATAGTACAACAAATCAAAAGACAGCATTATATTACAATACATTGCAACAACAATAAAAAAGAAAACGAGAGAGAAACACAACATAATTCTTACATTTCGGGTATTAAATCGCTATGGGCATGCTACGCTGGCTGCCGAGCTGTGGCTTTATCTCCCACGAAGCCACCTCTTGAGCCTCATCAGGGAGTATAAATGGCAAAGCAATCTCTCTGATCATCAGTTCACCACAGAACGGACACTCACCAGCAACAGCATCATCTAGTTGTGACCGGAGCTACAAATCATGATATTGTGTGAGAGAGAGATAGAGCATGTCAGGTGTTTTTTATTTTTCCAGACATAGTCAAGAGGCATTTTGGCATTGGTGGATTCCCTTGACCAAAATCGACCCATGGACCACAATGTCTTGAAGTGATTATTAAGATAATGTATACAAGTGTTTTTTTTTTTCAGATTTAACATGCCCTTTACACACGGGTGCATAATACTGGAAGGTTTCTTAAACCTCAAGCACAAAGGTAAACATTTGTAGTGAGGGGAGTGAAGATATTCATGAACGCTTGAGAGTATGGTAGATTGAAGCAAATCTCGGTTCTGCCCTTAGTCATTAAACTAATTGGGTTGATGCACTCAGACTTCAGCTGAAATCAAGTGGTATTTCTTCATAAATTCGATGGAAAAGAAACAAAGAACTGATCTGATATGCTAAAAAAGATAGTAGAGATTCAGGCAGTTACATATCCTAAATTTGGTTCTCCCACCTAATTTCAGGTAATTATAGAGGGATCGTATACTATGAGACAGTTCATTTTTGGTATAAGAAGGTCACAACTTTTCTTAGTCATTCGATGTAAAATCTAACATTAAAATATATCACAGCTTTCGAGAAAATTTGTTTTGGACATTGTGCTCATTAGTGATACACCACCACCCATCTGATTTCACATCCAATGGTTGACAATGATTGTGACCTTCTTGTACCAAAAATAAATGGTCTCATCATATACATTTCCATTATATGTTCTTTAAAAAAAAATTCCGATTATACAATGTCCGAAAAAAATTCGTTTCGGACATTGTGCTCATTCGTGATACATCACCACCCATCTACTTTCACATCCAATGATTTACAATGATTGTGACCTTCTTATACCAAAAGTAAATGGTCTCATCATATACATTTCCAATTATATGTTCTTTAAAAAAAAACACCATTATAAGATGAGATTTTAACAAAACACGTCTTTACTGTTTATTCTGAGAAATCTTAGTCCGTATTGTTTGTTTATCTAATAATTTTGCTTTCCTTTTATCTTTCTTCTTTGTTACTCTGTTCTGAATGAGCCATACAATAATGCAACCTTGTTTTCACCTATTTCTCTACATTATGATGGATGAGACTAGGAATTGGAGTTATGAACCTTGTCCGCATGTGTTATGCTGGATGTGGGAGGGCCCTCATTAGTGTTACTTGTAGAACCCTTGGAGGAATCCTTTGTCTCTGAGCTACCAAGTAAACTAAGCTTCTTCTGCATATCCAATATATACTCTGCCTGCCAAAAACAAAAGAAATATTGATTTTGGGAACAAAAGGCAGTTTAGTTTTAGTATTTCTTTATTATTTAATATGTTCATTTTTTTTGACTAAATCTAGAGTACCTTGATCATTCTGAAAGAAATTAAAGGCACCTTTCTCTTCTCATTATGGGGAATGAAGAGTAGTTGGTCAGATTCTGGAAATACAGTTTTTGCAATCAAATAATGGAGAAGGGATCTACCCAAAAAAAAAACGGAGACGGGGGTTTTTTCAATGCAATAGACTCATAGTCACCTAAGCTTAGTAAGAAGCATATCAAAGCTAAGCTGCATCCTCAGGCAACCAATGCGAACCATTTTCACCTCATTAAAAGGATCCAGAGTACTTTCAATGTTCCTCCTTTTGTCCCCCCCCCAAAACAACCAATTTATTGAGCAAAAATTAGTACAGAAAGTCTAGTTTTGTGGTGGCAATTACCTGGGCTCGATCTGCGCACTTGGTGACATGGGCAATGAGACAGTTTGCATGGAAGGCATGCCCACAGGGAAACACGTAAAATGGAGTCATTGGCCCCACAGATGTATAGCCTCTCATCCTATGTGCACCTCCAGATGTCAAAATCTTACGTCCACATCCCTTCAAATGTGATGCAAAAATCTGGTTAGGTACTGTTAGAAACAACTGATGAAGGAGGTTAAAGATCCTTTCGGATTTACAACTTTAGAACCATTGTTACATGTGCCTAATTGAGTATAAACTCATGAAACTTCAAGTAAAACATCAAAAAAAATTCAATTGAGAACAATGAAAGACATTAGCAGAGCCAGAGAAGTCCTGTTATCAACAGACACAAGCCGGACTTAAAAGCCTGCAGTCTTAGATTGCATTTGTCTATCAAAACCGTCAAATTTTATAAGCTACCAAAGCACCAAGGAGTATATCAAAGAACCAATTCTTTTTCCTTTGAATCAGGTTTAGTTTTAGGAATAAGACTGGATTCTATTGAAGTTCCTGCCTGAAACTCCTTTGAATACAATTACACTAACAAGGTCGGCACCAAACCCCAAATTATTCTCTGAAAGAGGACAAAATAAGACTAAAAAGAAGTTTCACAATACGGGAAAGAAAATAAGAGAACGACTATCTGGATTGTCCAGGATGAAACCAACAGAATCTGCCGAATTACATTCCTGACCTGCCAGAAGTGCTTAAATTCTAGTTGATCAAGCAGAACAAATTTAACTTAGGAGAAATCAGAAGCCAGATGCACGAATTATCAATTGAAGTTAAAATGCCCAATACCCCACATTCTTCATCACGATCAACAACAGCGTATCTTTGAGCTAGAGTGCTGATGTCGTTCCTTATATTATCGGCCCCATGAGTTGCATCGTTCATTTCCTGTTTCAGTTGCTCAATTTGCTTATTGTAGTCCTCCAGTGATGAGCAGATTGCTTCCTACAAGATACAAAAGTGGATGAATTAGCTTTACAAAAAATGAATGCATAGATGCTAATGAATCTTACAAATACAAAAGATAAAAGCCGCAGTTAATACGAATTGACATGAATGATGGATCTAAAAAATATGCATGTGGGTCGATGGAAGTAATTTTCTTTATGCATGTGGGTTGCAAGAAGTATTTTAAAAAAGAAATAATGCACAAATATGTGTTTGCAGCATGCCTGACAATCTGTTTCTAGTCTTGCATGCTGGAATGCCACACTTGATTGAAAACAGAACAGAAAGAACAACCTCAAATCCCCAAGAAAGTGGTAATTTCTTAAATTGTTTTAAATATTAAACTTTTAAGTAGACTTAGGTGGGCTGGCCATGTATGGCATAGACCCAATATAACACATGTTAGAAGGTGCGAGTTAGTTCAAGTGGAAGGCTCAAAAAGAGTAAAGGGTAGGCCCAAAAGGACATGGTTGGAAATAGTGAGAAAAGAAATAGAAATTTATGGCCTAACTGAGGGAATGGCCCTTAATAGAGCAGAATAGTGGACCAGGATTTGTATAGCCAACCCCAATTAGTTGGAAAAAGGCTTTGACGATGATGATGATCATCATCATTTATTAAATTAATGGGCTGTTAGATAATTTGTTCACGATAGAATAAACATCTGCAACACAATAAATTCTTACATAAAAAAGTCCTTATTTTATTATACAATATTGAATTTTCAAATCTAGTAAACAGATGGGCAGTTAACGATCATAACCGGATCACAATACCAAAGGACAGGGTAGGCTAATGTAAAATTTGGTACTTGATCAAAGCGTGACTTGTCACTTGTCTATTAACGGTAGCACTGACACTGCACTTACATCTGCTTCTTGAAGGGTAGTCCAGTGTGCAAAACATTTCCATTTCATTGGCTTTGAAGCTCTTAAAAAATGTCTTAAAACCCTAGGCATGTAAAAGATATGCGAAAAGCTCACCCGGAAATCATCAATAAGCGCAAAGTCTGGAAAAAATGGCAAGATATCTTCAATTTTCAAAAGGCCATCGGTTTCCTTAAGAAATGCTATTGCCTTCCGTATGTTTTCCCTTTTTGCTCCTTTCTCCTGTTCAATGACATGCTTTGCAACCATAAGCCAAAGCTTCTTCCTTAGGTCTTCATCATCTTCAACCTTGTCTGCTTCTGCCATAGCAAGCTCTGGATCTACCTAGGGATGCAGTCAATCAGAAATGTTTCACACACATTGTGAAGGTTTCCAAAATTAGAGCATAAATCAATTAGAATATTAGTAGATATCAGATTGATCATATTCATATGTAAGCCAAAACAATTTGTAGCTAGGAACAAACTTTATAAATATCAAATTGTTCACTCAAAGATAATAGCCAATATAGTAGGTCTGTAAACAATAAACAAAAGAGCCACTTCAATAGTTTCCAATAATGAGATAAATAGATCAAAAGATGAAAACATAGAAAAAGGTACACGAAAACCATAAAGGTCTACAATCTGCCATGGCATGCCATTGTGCAAAATCTATCTAGATAAGAAAATGAAATAAAGAATGTCTGAAGCAAGCCAAAAAATATTGTTCCTTATAGAATAAACAAAAAAATAGCACAAACTTAATTCTACTGAGTAGCATTATTTTATAGAAATCATCCTTGAGACATGGACATCGAAGTCGGACATAACATAGAAATAGTGATTTAAAAAAAAATTCCCCCCACCCAAAAGAAGACATGACGAAACAAAATATTTTTATGTTTCAATTTAAATGTAAAAAATATATGACAATACAAGATTTATTAGTATAATAGATTTCACTACTAAGAACACTCGATATGATTTCCCATGTAAGAACAGTTTTTAATTCATATTTCCACAAGAAAAACTATAGACAGCGATTTCATCGGATTTATTATCAGTGATTGTAAGATATAGTTTACCAAATCCAACTGCATGCATGCCTACGAGCACCAGCCAATAAATCGACAAACAAACAGGTGTGAAAGGTGAATGACACTTCATTAAATGAAAAAAAAAAAAAATATAATATATATATATATATATATATATATATACTACACTAC